GAAGTGTTGTTCTCAATAGGGTCTGTGTGTCATTTGTGGGAATTAACTGGGAGCTACATTACCCTTTAGACATGATGTAGTCTGAGAATCCCTCTTGGTGTTTTCCAGTTAAAATGCAGTGTTTCTGGGATCTAGATGCCATGTGGAGTTTAACAGCAGGGTTTTTTAGGATGAACCTGTATAGCTCTTTCATTAGAGATTTTGAACCCTAACATGCTATGCAAGTCACATTCCAAGACTATAGACTCATTATACCTGAATTACACTGGCAGAACTCCAGCTGACTTATAATTGCTCCCTTGTAACTTTTGTTTTAATTTGCATCAAATCTTACCATTCCTCTGGCCTTACACCAAAACAATCTCACCAAGCAGTTGGTTTGAACAAATTACAATTTTCTTTCTGGCGTTGTTATTGCAGGATTTGTTGTGTAAGGAACAACTTGAAAGGTAGTGGTAGCTGCATATAAGCGATTAGTTATTCTGTACCTAATCATATGCAGTGAGCACAGTTATACATGCATCCTTTTTGACCTGTTTTGACGTGCAAAGCTCAGACACATTGAAAGATGCAGAGCTTTTCAGGCTTTCATCTTTAACCAACGGAAGCTTAGCGTGTGGCTTCATAAAGTGAAATCGGATAGTTTTCCATAGGCTACCAAAAAGGAAGGAATAAAGATGAAGGTGGCCGTCAAATCTAAACTACAAGCTACAATTTATAACCCTGCACCTCTGCTTCCACCTAATAAACGTAATGCCCAAGAAGAGAAAAATACTTGCTTCATGTTATTTGTGAGGTGAGACTGTCTACCAAAGAAGAAAAATCAGGGTTTAAAGAGGCTTTCAAGGGCTTCTGAGAACAAATTAGGTGTAATTTAGGATTTAAAATGAGTAATATAGATGCAGCAATTTATGGCTGGCAGCAATTTCTCAGTGCAGGACAGCCAAGTATTTATTTTTTAAGTTACAACAGAAAATTAACTTTTAATAGTCAAATGCACAAGAAAAGTGGTTCCAGTAATTTAAAAGGATAGAAAGTGCTGCATCAGTATTCAATTGGATTACTGTATATTGTATGAGTTCTTTGTCTACAGCAGTGAAGGTGCTTAAGAAGCAGCAGCTAACTATGCAAGTATATGTAATCAAAATCAATTTGTTCAGGTCATACTTCCTATCTTTAAAATAGGAAGGCACAGGTAGCATGAAATCCTTCCATTTCCTCAAGTGTATTTGCTGTGAGAATGTTTAATATAATTAAGAATGCTGATCTGGAAGACATGAACTAAACCTATACAAAACATCATGGGTTAATGGAATTAGGTCAGAGATACAGGTATGGATACAGCATCATTATTATTCTCCTCAATAGAGATCAGTATGCTCTCTGCTCATTTTGTAATAAGATGCAACCACAATCTCAACATCAGGGGGATGATGTTGAGATAGGGGACCTTTCAGTGTCTGGTTGTTTTCCACAGTCTATTCAAATGCTTTATTTTCCCTATTTCATTACATTGTATGTATTTATTCTATTCTATTTCATTCCATTCTATTCAATTCTATACTATTCTATTTGTTTCCATTCCTCTTATATCATTGGTTAGCTGCATTAAAATTTTTTTTACTCTGTATAAAGGCAAACTGACTGGGAGGGGCAGAAATCTCCTACATATAGACAAAAGTTTTACAGATGTTAGGAAACACCCGATCCCTGCATGGTGCATACTGTAGCTGTAGGATTACTAATAATGGGTACTATGTTGTGTAGCTTTCTGCTTGCCAACATGATTCATTTAATATTTTACAATTTAAATACAATTCAGTAACCTTTAAACATCCACAGAGGTCCTGGAAACCACACAAGAGACTTGGTCTGTTGTAAAGCTGGAATGAGCAGATTTCTTAACAAAAATGATGGCATTTATCCAATCAGGTCTATTTCCCTTGTAGCAAGAAGGTCCTGACTTCAAGCCTAGGGAGTTTGCATGTTCTCTCTATGCATGCCTGGGTTCTCTCCAGGTACTCCAACTCCATCAAAGTCTGAAAACATGCATGTTATCTCAACTGGCCTTTTAAACTGTAATTATAAGTTTTTGGTATTATTTGTTGTTTAAATTGTGCAGCTTTCAATGGTTTGGTGACTTGTCCAGGTAACAACTTGCCTGTTGCCCAGTGGTTGGTGGAGATAATGACCCCCTGCAAACCATCAAGGCTAATAAGGTAAAAAAAAAAAGAATTGCTAGATGGCTGCATAACACAAATTGGCCATGGTAATGTAATCTCTATAACTAGATGGACATGTAAAGTGGATAATATGTTTGCAGGACAACATTTTTACTTGTATCACCTTGTGTTTTTGTACTGTGCCATACTATGTTTAAATAAAATAAGTAAATTTAGGGCAGTGGATGCACCTCTCTCTACTATTAATTAGAGGATATCACTGTCTCCTCTTTTTACCCTGTTCTGTCTGCAATAGGAGATTTTGCTGTAAAATCCAAAAGCACAGCATTTTCCAGAAGGGTTATGCAGAGAGTGAATATGTTTATATATTATTTACTAACCCATTTATGGCCTTGTTCTGCTAATGGCCCTAGTCTATAACTTCCTATACTGAGTGAGATTCATCAAGCAGAGAAGAGCTGGTCAAGTTTGAATGCTATGGTAGCTGTTAAATCACACTTTATTTGTGACAGGATTAAAGGAGTAGTTCTTGCAAGTAATGACTGAGAAACATAAAAAACACCATAACCATTTATCTCCCTTAAGGGAGAAAGTTAACACCTTCATTTGAAATTGTTTACCCATCGTTTTTCTTTCTTTCTTTTTTTTTTTTTAGATGTTTTGTTTGCACGTTTGGAAGACCTTTGAAATCCATTAATTCAGAAAAAGCCTAAAAGGAATATTTTATAGCATGGTATTAATCTGTCAAGACAAAGTTTTCTAGTCTATTTGTACTGAATGTTTCAGAGGATCAGCACTGAGGGATTTTCAATCGTAATGTAGTTATAAAATTACCAGCTAAAAACCTAAGCAATGTGTTCAGTACCCAGTGATTTAAATTTGTTTTTATTTATGTTTTTCTGCTGTTTTCTTTTGTCTGTATAATTTTTTTTTTAGATATTTGACATAAAAAGGTGAAGACAGATGTAGAACAATAAGACAATGGATCACTAAAGTCAGCGTGATTTTTACTCAGTGAAATAATTCATGTATTGACTCTATGGTGATAGACACTCTTAAAAAACCCCAGCTGGAGTGCCATAAATGGTTTCCTATAGCACCAAATAACAAAGGTGGCCTTTGCTCTCTCTGACTGTTTAAAAGCTGCACACAATATATGAAACGATGACTTTTAATAAGACCCATATCACAGTGACAGGGGGGTGCTCTCTTCATTCAACCTTTGATGTGAGCGTCACAAAGGTTATGCAGTCTCTCCAACCAGCTGAGAAATGACTTGAAAATGAAATGACTTCCCTCCACAGAAGACTTGGAGAAACTCATTAACACACATACTGCTTCTCAATTAGGTCACTGTAACCGCAGTCCTTCAGCCTCGTTCAAAGGTCGCCTTTACCCCAGAAGCTAATCTGTATGTGTTCACAATGGCTTTGAAAGTTCTTCTAAAGTTCATTCTAAGATCTTACTGTTTTCAATATGCACAGCGTGATTTATCTCTGGGTTACATTTCTACAACTTTTTACGTGCTCTGAAACAAGGGATCACAAGGCTCCTCTAGTCTCTTCCATAACTTTCAACTTAGTGTCTCCAGAATAAAAGATAAATGAGCTGCCTTTCTTGGTTCTTGAAGATTGTTAATCTCTTTCAAGAATCCTTAATGTTTTATTAACCTTGCATGAATTTTACTTGCCTTCCTTTTAAGGCACTTATTATTACCATGATTCAGTACCTACACAACGAGATACAAAAGAGCTAATCTATCACAACTAAGTGTTATAATTTTGATCCAGTACCTATTTTTGCATCAATTGGGCTTGGAACAAGCCCCGTGTTTTAGGCACCATCTTGGTTTTAAACAACTAAAACAAATGAACGTGTTGCATGCTTTGTTTTTATAAATACTCAAAGCTTTAAGTAGGAAAAATAATCGATAATCAAAACACTTCATATTATAATAATAGTAATCAATAATATTAAATTAAACAATAATCAATGTCAGATCTAAGGCTACATATACTGATAATTTGTTAAGTGGAACATTGTGTTTATTTTATTGGCTTCTGTCTATGTTTAAATGAATTGAAGTTATTTGGAACTAAAAATGTAATTTACTTTTATATTTAACCTGTAATCAATCACTGTTTTTTTGTGGTACATGGTTGTTTGGCTCAAATATTCTCTGGAATTGATTTATCTATTATTATTTTTTATATTTAATTAATTTATTGATCAATTCATTAATATTGAGTGGACATGCAAATAGAGAATTGGACACTCCGTCAGAGTACAGTGATCTGTCTTTCTGTCTGTCTGTCTGTCTGTCTGTCTGTCTGTCTGTCTGTCGTGATCTCCCTTGTGAAAGTTATAATGTTCCTTTTTGAGCAAGGCAATTATTGTCATGATTAGTTCAGTTGCAAATAAAACCTTGTTTACTTTCATCTTTCCAGAATTTCACAGTTATTTCTTCAATTTGCAAACCATTTTCTGTACATATTCAACATTGAGAAAACTATAATAGCAAACGCTGGTACCAAAACAAAAAGAAATAGCATTACACCCCCCCCCAAAAAAAAACAACCAAAAAAACAACAACAACAACAACAAAACACAAGCAATCAACTTCTATATAGCTCAACAAATCAAACTTGCAGATTACAAATATTACATAAACAATTATAAAAACATGCTCAGCTGCTGTTATGGCAGTATTCTTTACAAGCTTTTTTTTGTTAGCCATCCAAGTAATTTTTTATCTATTCCAATAGCAGCCCACCCCTCCTCAGCCAAGTACATGTGTTTAGATGGCACAATACTTACTATCTCCATGGCAGCGGAGTGGTCCAACAGTGAGTTTGGCCTCAGAGCCCGGTCTGTTTGTGTCACCAACAGCAACCTGGCTAACTGGCAGGTGCTCTTTATATGTCAAGAGACCAGAATCATTCCTCCTGGTAAAAAGAAAAGAAGAAAAAGAAAGATTCCCCACATTACATGCCGACGATTTCTCTTTTTAGCTTTCTTTTTAAATCTACATCTTTCCTGCTTGCTGTTCTAAAACTCTTTATTGTTGAGCTCTGCTAAATGTTGCCAAAAAAACTCACTAAATATTGTAAAATAACACATGATTCCTGTCCGGCACTACTCATTACAAGTCATATTTCTGCTTCTCTAATTTTTCTCATCAGGTTTTAAAAATGTGATATTAAATAGTGACTCAGAAAATATATATGCACGTATATATATTTGTCCTTGAGAAAACATAGCATGTGTTAAGGCATATTGCAGAAATGCACGGCACCGTTTCAGGCATGCAGTCATTGCAATGCAAGTATAGGCTTATTAGAACTAAGGAGCTGCAAATCATTTGGAAGTATGTTCATCATCTCTGGTGCACCATAAAGGTTTAAAGAAAAATAAAAAAATTAAAATTATCTTTTAATGTTATTTAATTTATTCAGCTAGGAGAAATCAATCTTGAAAAAGTTATTTTTCAAAAATTACTCAATTTCAAAAGGTAAAGAGATTCAAAAGGTTAGAGAAAGTTCAGACAGATGCTAATCTTTGTGTCAGATTAGTGTTAGTGAAACTGAATCTTCTTTTTTAATCAAAGTGAGAATGTTTTTCGTTTTTCTCTAATACATGATTGTGACAGATGTGATAATATTTTAAGTCGCTACGTTGCTACCACAAAGAAAAGAATGAAAAAACATCTAAAACTCCATATAGGAAAACTGAATCATAGGTTGGCATCTTGTAGTCAGACTGTCTTTATAATAACAACAGTTTTCATGAAGGTTAAACCCTGTTTTGGACAAGACTCCAAAAGAAAAACCTTTTTCCTACCACCACAGATATTGAGATCTCTTCTATTAAACTGGTGACCAGACCAGATGAGGTGGTACCTTAGGAAGTGTTTACCCAATGCCATTTAGCATCCTTTTAAAAGTTGATTTGTAAACCAAAAGTCCAGGAAAATTAAACTTCTTTCAACGTTTCTTTAAAATGAAATCCTGGCTTCATGCTGTGTGCATCTTGTAGTGATTCCTCTGGGATTCAAAGTCTCAGTAGAAGAAACATGCAAGCCTACTGATCCTGTCTGACTTGCGTTTGTCCTTGACAACAAAAAACAGTTATTGTGAGCAGCAGAGATAGTTTCTTACCCAATCTCTCCATTTACTATCATCTCCATTTCCCACGCCTGATTGCCGTTTTAAAAACAACTGAACAAAGTGAATCATTTAGAGTTGCCTCTTCATAGTTTCTAGAGCTATGTATGTTATATCATCATTTCTTTCCCTACTTAAGTGGCAATCTTTCTTTCTAAACTTGAATTTGCTATAATAATTACCATCTGATCTGCATATCACTATGGTGTTATTAGTTAGGTTAATACATACATATTCACATAAGCATGGTCATATTTTGTTAATTTGAATTGATTTGTTTTAATCAGTGCAGTCATTAAAACAATTTGTAATGTGTGAGCGAACCTGCTCATGTGTAGGTATTACTAATTCTGATGAATATGTAAGATGCAGATTACAACAATAATAGTTATAAAAGGAAGTAAGTCACTGCTTCTACTGGGTAAATGAAAAATAATGAACTATTTAGCTAAACAGAATATGTGTGCAATTTAATCACAACCAAATAAAGTGATAAATCTATATAGAGTCATACAGTACTTGGATATGTGTGGATATATACAACTAAGGTGAAAATTATTAACACTACTAGCCTATTTAGTTTTTAAATAATACGTATTCATCTATTTATTCTCAAGAATGAAAGTACTGCTAATATTTTGGAGTAGCCCAGACAGTCTCGACTTGAACCAAAAAGCTGTAGGCTGACGTCATCACTCCAACTTTTATTACATTATAAATAAAGATATATTTAGCTTGTTCTTTAAAATTGACAACATTTTCTTAATAATTTAGGAAACACTTATCTCATTTCCTCTTGAACAAGCTTCTTGGTTAAATGAAAATTGAAAAAGTTTTGAATTGACATTTTCCAGCTGCAATAAGCCTGCTCGTACCATAGATAATTTGGGATGAACAGTGTAACAACCTGTGATGTTTCCTATCAGAATATTTGTATTCAGTTACGATTGAAGTAAAAATTTGCCTTTTACTTCCTTTGTTTTGGATTTCATTTTCTGCCAAAGAGTTATTTTCAGTGTTTCAGGAGGCAGCTAATTTGCCTCCTCTATGCAATAAGAGAAATCAATCCAAGTTGAAAAAGCTCAGCCTCTTTAACTCATCCAGGCCAGTAAGTGGCGCACACCCCCACTCAGGTTCTGCACTATTCGCCAGCCAGTTGCTAATGCTAATACTAACCTTTGTTTATTGCCATAAAATATTAAAATCTTATCCATTATTTGACTGTAAATATCATACCTCTAAGTCAGTGGTCTTTAATGTTTTCCAGGCCAAGGACCCCCAAACTGATGGCGAGATGGAGTGGGGAATCCCCTAATTATATACATTGTATGAAATTCTGTTATATCAAACAGGTCCTATAGTCACTCTATTACAGATGGAGTAATGTAATGAAAGTAATATCTCCCTGGGATTATTAAACTATTTCTGATTCTGATTCCTGGTTGATGGGACAGGTATTGTGAATGAAACGGTGCCCAGCTTGAAAGAGTTCCTGTGTGTCGCTGAATGTGTGCATTGATGACTGAAGGCATCTTACTACAGTGTGTTGAATTCATGTTTATGTGTATTTAAAGACATTTCAATTAGTGGAAGAAATTACAGGAGGGAATATAAAAAAAAAGTCCTATCAACCAAAACTTTCGTGACCCCCATTCAGTACCTCCGCGAACCCCCTTAGGGTCAAGGACCCCCTGTTGAAGATCTCCGCTCTAATTAATCTAAAATACATTTTTTCAGTCAGACATGAAACACTTGAAGAGCAGTTGTGTAATTATTCAGAGTTTTCTATTTGACAAAACACATAAAATACAACAGGCTCTAGCAGCATTTTTTTTTAGCAACACCTGAAGCTCAATCGGAAAAAGACGCAGTATTATGAAACTAAAACACTGTACAAGTTCAATCTGTTCATCTGAAAAGTGTGAAAATTTGTGGGTGGTTTCAACTAGATGACAAATGCTCTTCTGTCCCAGAAGAACAATTAAACGTGTTACATAACTGTCCCTGGGATGACGGCAGTGGCGGCTGGTGAAAAATATTTTTGGTGGGGCTGATATAGCCTAGTGTATGTCTCCAACTAATCCGGAATAAGAATTCAAATAAACAATTGGACAATACATACAATTTAACAGTAATGATTTAATTTACTATATAATAACAGTAACAGTGATGATTTGGGTCACTGTGAGGGGGTTCTTTGGCCTCCAAGAATCCAGGCTCAGTCGGGTTACCGGTGTTGGTGATTTATTGTGCTCAAAAACTCAAAACAGGGTGCAAAAGAAACTAAACATGTACAAGATCCTCTGGGCCTCAGCCTCCCTCCAGTTACCAGCAATGTAACAAAGAAACAGAAAACAGAAATGGCCGCTCTTCCTCCCACAGCCCTCATTAAATAGTTTAAGCCCCTACAGGCTCTCTTATTTCTGATTTCTTCTCATTAATCAGTTTTGTCCATATATTACCTCCACAAACAATTGATGTACAAAAACAAAGAATTTTTTACAACTTAATTCCTTTACACAGATTCATTGACTTATTCAATTACACCAAACTGGGTTTGAACCCAGCAAAGATGCAGCCAGACTGAAGATGACAAGTCCCCGTAGCATAAACACGTACACACCCACACCCCCCACACACCCACACACACACACGGCTAACCCCACTGAAATATTAAGTGTGCACCCTCAATACGCCAGCAGGTAACCAGGAACAGCTTGTGTGTTTTAAGTTCATGGAGCTACTGGTCTCAGCGCGAGTGTATTGGTCTTCACAAGCACAGTATAACAGGAATGTGTGTATGGCGCGCAAAGTTAGAGAGGTTGTTTTAAGCGACGAGGTGGATTCGTCAGAGCCACAATAACCATGACATGAAATGTTCATATCCTACAACAGGGATGTTCTTCTGGCAAACGGGTAGATAAATAAGGATCTCACCGAATTTGGTGGAAGCTGCATCTCGCTCGTTACATTCGCCATCTTCCCTCTAATTGTCTGCACCTGCGCTTGGGTTCAGAAGCCTGTTAAAGGGCAGTATTTTCAGAGCCCCAAGACCATAAAGTTCTGAGACGGCCATTAAATTCACCTAGCAATAGTAGCCTACATGATTGACAGATTCTCTGCAAATGTGGGGCTGTCTGATCACAGCCCCAAGACAGAGACGGTAGGAGTCTGTCTGTGGAAATCCACAAATGAAAGACAGTAGATAGGGAAATGTAGTTTATATAATTTGTTTTGCTTATAGGTACACACTCTAGAGAGTAAAACTGACATTTATGAGTTAATTTCTAAAAATATATTTTACGTTTCTCTCTTCTTATCAGGGAGGGCGGTGCCCCAGCGCCCCCTATGGGCCGGCCGCAACTGGATGACGGCTTGTTATTATGTGAAGTATGATTTTTTATCAGGCAGAATAAGTCAGGTTAATTACTTGTTAAATAATCTTAGAAGAGGCAGGTAAGTGTCTGATTTCTCAAAACAGTGCATTTAAAAAACAATGATTTGTGATTTTGTTATAAAAAAAAAAAATCAAATAAATAAATGTAATCTAACAAAAACTTCCAACTGTTTTTAATATTCTTTTTTTGTTTCTGCATTTTTTCTTTTCTTTTCTTTTATTTATTTATTTATTTTTTTTCCTAGTTGCTTTGATTCTGTTTTATCTTCCTGTATTTTAATCATGTAAAGCACTTTGCATTGTCTTTGTACTGAACTGTGCTATACAAAAAAATTGGCCTTGCCTTGCCTTGCCTTTGTTTAAGTGAAGTGAAATAGTTGTTCAC